AATTACTTCGACATCGAGACGATAACCCAACCCATCCAGCAAAATTGGCCAAGGTTGTTTAAGCGTCTTCATCATCAAATTCCATAGCCAACTTCAACGAAGCACCTTTACCTATCTCCAAATGTCGAAGGCGAAGTCAATTCCAAACCTGACTCGAGTAAGTTCAAGAAATAGGATTGCTTCTTGAACCCTCGATATCTGATCTCTGGCTCCGGGTAAGAGATTAGGTCAAACTATTTAGATCTGCCGCAGCAGATGGCTAAGTTTCACGTCAACCTGTGACATCAGAGGTCGACTATACTAGGCATGAGCACAGCCCTACCAAAGTACAACACCAAGCAATTTGTCACCATACCGTAGCGCTTATGGTAATTTCTTCCATGTGAAGCCAATCTTAGGCGATGGTTTGAAGAGACTCGAGAAACAACAAGCACTACATCAGTCTTACTTGCACGCGAGTGGCCAGCCACCTATCAAATATAGCAAGAACTGCTGAGGAATAGTTTGTTAGATGACCAGTCAAGGGGCATTGACGATTGTGGACTGAGCATAGCGAGCGAAATCCTAGAACTTAACTTCTTCTCTGGAGCTTGTTGAAAAGGCGTAGACAAAACATAAGTGGGGACGCGGAGTAGGGTCTCCAATCCCTTGGAGAAAGATCACAACGATCATTTTTACCGATTGACACTAGCATCACCGCGGAATCAGTCACAAGGGGAAGCGCTAAACATAGCTGACGTTGGTCTAAGTACACATCATACAGTTGGTGAGACTGATGGAGGTAATCAGAAGGGAATTCCTTTGGCTATCCTTATGCACCAATGGAGAAAACAGAACTCTCTATACTCGCTTGTGAACTGTGTAACGGGCGAACATCGACTTTAGCCGTGGTTCCTTCAAACTCAATGGCAACGTAGCAAGTTTTCAGGTGCGTAGAAAAAGTACTAAGGCCGAAAAGTAGACTCAGTGTCCGTAACCACTACAAATACATCGAAGACTAAAGAGATAGCACATGGGATCGCTTGGGTCAGCCGCCTTAGCAGCCATGTCATTAACGAAGCCATTTGTACAACACTCAATCACGACCGAACTGCAGTACAACCTAGGTCACTTTTCTTTAACAATCTGTAAGAGGAATGAAAGTTACACATGCGCAGTCCTCATACCACCTTAGACCATGACTAAATCGTGGAAGTTTACTATCAACACGAAAATTCAATGTTACAAGTCCTTGTGCGAAAATCGGAAACTAGACGACTATAATCAGGTAGCATGTCAAGTACTAGACCCCAAAAATGACAACGCACCAGCTCATTAAAATCCTCAAGCAAACTTTTACAGAAAACCAGTGCTGTGATGTACGGTTACGTGTTAATAATCATAAATTGACTCGAGGACCTTAGTGCAGTTGCAAGCACTTGAACTTTCTGTAATAAAAACGGATCCCTTAATAGCGTGGCCTACGTAGTAAAATACGTGGGCGAGCATAACACCAGACGCTTTAAGCTCCCTGATCAAGTTAAGAGACCAGAAGACGCAATGCGTGGACACTTTTATTATTAAAAGTTACAACACATACGAACAGAAAGGTTGAGTCTACAAAGGACTCTGTGCACAGCTGAAAATGCCGGGTAATCCAGAAAAAGCAGTGGCCAGATTATTTATCTCGCCTACTGAGTTAACAAGTCCTACGAGTCCCTGGGCGCAAATTCGTTTCAACATGCTTGGCAAATAAAAGTAATTAAATACCCTTAAGAA